TTCCGAATTTGGTCGACTGATTGAGTGATTGCATGCAACCCCGGGGAGTTCGTAAGCAAGCGAGTATATATTTACTCTGTCTGTCATAATACATGCAAGCATCCAGCTAATCATGACAGTCTCGCAGGTACCAAGCATCGAAACATGTCAACACAAAAAACAAAAATCTATGCTTTTGGCGTCATTATATTGAGCGATGGGAACCTCTAACAATGGACTTGTCGACATTGAACAAGTAGCTATTGCAATCGCAACGGCTATGATGTTTGGCGCGTTGCAGCACAAGGTGAAGAAGATGGCCAAGGCCTTAGCCGACACAAAGACGCATGTGCATGGAGAGAGCCGGGGTCAAAGGAGTACTACTATTTGGCCGTAGGCATTTTGCGGGTTGTCAGTTCGGGGGGGGGTTTCCAAAAGGTGGATCAAATCTCGGAGGGGGGTTAAGAGATGGAGTCTTTGACTTTATGTCATCTTATACAGAGATTCAAGGGAGTTATACAGAGATACAGTGTGAATTAGGAGTTAAAATATAGGCTGAGCATATGCCCAGCATATGCTAGGTATATGCAGAGCATATACATTTACAGCAGTTACAGCAGCAACAACCCACTGTATCTACAGCAGTCACAGCAGCAGCTACCCACTATATCTATAGCAGTCACAGCAGTAGCTACCCACTATATCTATAGCAGTTATAGATTTAATCTCTCAGTATAAGCTTAGTATATCCTAAGTAGTTGTTATTTACTATCAGTTACTACACACTGTGGTTACCCTAACCCTATCTATATAAAATCTTTAGACCCCCCTCTGAGATTTGCTCCACTTTTCTTAGACCCCCCTGGGAATTGGGAATACCCCCCTCCCAACTGTACCCCCGCATTTTGCCTACCCAAAGATATTTATTCTCGCTTAAGTGGAGCTGACTACCTTTACATGCTGTAATTAGCCAAAACAACTATGATCACCCGCCAAGCAAAAGACGGCGGTTGCCGGTTGGCCTCGTCTCACCTCACCCACTCAAGGCTCGGCTGGAGATCCCCGACCTGCAGGTCGCTTCATGCGCTGTCACCAAGGTCTGCGTGGTCACTGCCTTCTTTCGGTACTTGTAAGCTCCATGACTAATAGAATTTCCAAGCTTCTGACCGAGGCACACGGCACTAGAATAAAGCATTCGATGCTGTAAAGGGCCACTTCAGAATTAAATCAGTGGTTGAACATAAGGAACTTTATCATCTTCGCAACATGCTCAGGAAGCCACTATCACTACTTCAAGACCAGGCAGCTAAGGTAGCACTCTCAAGATAAGCCATTCATCCTCATGGTCCTCGGGCGGCATATTACTATCCTGTAAACCCAGCCTCTGCTTCGTCATCTCTATACTTGTTTCTATGGCTTCGCGTAGTTGAGCATTAGACGATATCTGACTCTTCAAAATGTGGTGGCGACGGGCAAGCCGAGAGGGGGCTGGCCTATCTCGTCATCTCTATACTTGTTTCTAGAGACTCATGGCAATGCCTGTCGTCCTCACCGTTATCAGCTCAACAGCATCGGCCCCCGGTGCACCAATACTCAGGGAGTCCAGCCATATATCAATATCGCACTCATCTATCGCTGCTAAGGCCAGGTACACGACGAAAACGACGCCACCAGCTGAGATTTCAACAACAATAACAACAACAACAGTAGCAGCAGCAGCAGCAGCAATCACTACCGCTATCACTACTCTTACTACACCTCAACGATTTTCTAGAAATAGCTATCCGCCGCAGCAAGACAGAATTCCCATTACGTATATCACTGACGGATCACAGTCTCCAGATCTTCTTCCGTTGGCTTAGGTTAACTGGATACATAATGAGCCAAATAGCTGGCTCTTAGATCACACCAGACATAAGGGCAAATTAGCGCGGGTCTTCCACCTGCCGCAAATGGGGAAACATAGAACCGGATACAGCAGTAATGTCTTATCAAAACTTCCCACAGCATCATAAACCGCCACAAAAGCGTGTCAACAGCCATTGGGCACCGACGCCCAATGATATATGGATCAACCCTAACCTCCGCTCTACCCTACTTGTTTTCAACAAGACTAAAACTTGGAGACATCCATTCACCGGTATCTATCGGATATTAGATCTAGAAACAGGCCGTATATAGCCTCTTGACCCGTCCGCACCAAATTCGGCAGTTCAACTTACTCAGTGGTCACCGCGAGCAGAAGCAGTACCAGTTATCTAAGAGAACAATTTATATCTCCGGCAACTTAATATCTGTACCAATGCTACCGCCGTCCAGAGAATCACAGAGAACGTAAGCTACAACCTGTTATATAGTGTTCCCAACTACGTCTACGAAGGACAATTGCTCGAGGGCAAGACGGCGCTTTGGTGGTTGGGTACTGGAAGCTATCTAACCTTCTACCAGACCAACGGCTCCATGGTTGAGACGCATATAATTCAGCACTTCGGCCGCCGCCCACATATAAGTTTTGACTTTCTCTCGGGAATACAGCAACACCCTCAGTACAGTAACTTCGCCTACCCGAGACCAGATACGCCAAACCCTAACCTCATCTAATGACCTGTGCGGGTGTTACAAGATCATTGCATTTCTGAGACGCCATTTGAGGTGGTCACAGGAGGACTATTCGTCCTGGTGGAACAGGCGTTGAGGGCACCAGATCCTCAGATTTGACCTCATCTTCTTGATTTTGACGCGAGACTGCAACCATGGAGACGAGTTAAACTTGGCCCAATAGGCTCGCACCCTATGGCCGTGAAACGGTAAGCCAGCTTTGTACGAATACGGATGAGGGGGGCCTTGCGATATAGTGTTCCTCGGTAATGTTTGGTTTCGTACGAGGCGGCCGTTGGATAACCTTGCCCATGCCCGAAACAGATCTGGAGAGCAGGAAGTCCCGCGTTGAAACGCTGCCTATGAAGGCTTATTCCAACAAAATGGATTGAATAGCGGATCACCGTGGCGTTAATGGAGCTCGATTCTACAAGGTTAGAAACGCTGGGAGCCGAGAGAGAACAGACAAGTCTTCGGTAATTCCTGTTCCCTGTGTTATGTATTGGGTGTTCTCTCAAGAAGACCATCATCAAAAATTTTAATTACCTAAAACCATTTTTGGAAATATTTGATTTGGGCTGCCCAGAGTATTTCCAAGCCTAACCCGCATCCCACTCGGCAGGACAGAGGCATCATGACGCAGTTCCCCCTTTTACCGTTCTCTTGACTAGCTAGCCCCGCCTTGTTTCTGTGCACTTGTAGGAAAGCCACGTGAGCGTGGCAGACTAGTCTATGTAGCTAGCAGAGCCAATGTGTTTAATACACTCCCTTAGCTTTGTTTTAACGGCGTCTGTTACCTTAAAACCTATGCTAGGCTTTTGCTGTTAGTTACTGTGCAAAGCTAGAAGCAGTCCTTTTGGTTCTACTGTGTTACCTTATCATTGCTGTCACTAGGGAAAGGACAGGGCCTGCGTTAAACTAGGTCAAGGTTACACAGATCAGCCAGACCGCAATTGGTTTACCAGTGGAATAAGAGTACAAGACAACGGTCTTTTGCCCTGATCAAAAGCCTTTTCCTCACTATTTTTTCACATCTTACATAAGCAGAGGCTGTGTGTAAGAGACATGGCACAGGCATGAGTTGGTTTTGTTCTTTCCTAGAGCTTAAGTAAAACATATACACATCTGTAGTAACCCTTAATTTTGACCGGTTCCAGATTTCCCCTGCACGGCATGTACTCATTAACCAGGGACAGCTTCACCCTCCACAACTAGCCCTAACCCAAGACAAAGTCATAAAGGAAGATACCCCTCGGGTCTATAGGTAAGCACGGCAGCCCAAAGCATTCATCAATGTACTCGTATTGAAGCAAAAATTCGGACTAGCTATGAAGCAGCCGCCGCGGACCACCTAACAATGGCGGGGATTATACCTTGACCACATGCTTCGTGCTGTTGCAAGCCAATAGCAAAACGAAATAAGACAAATAAACATACAACACCAGGTATTCGCTGGTCGTCACCGACCCAACTACTAATCCGGCCCTTATTAGCTTATCTATGGGAGAGCGGACGGGATCCCGAGTTTTCTAATAGGTATGGTCGTATGTACTTGCCAGTGTTCAGAAGTAGCTATATATACTACGAAAGATAAGATGGTCAACGCAACGGAAAGCCACGACACGAAGCCGAGGAGGATGAACTTTTTTGAAACCAATTCCTGAAAAGACACGTTGACGAAGCCTAACTCTGGCCCTAGTTGGATGACTTACAGGATGAGGGCCTCGTCGTCGGAGCGATTTTCCAACGCTTGTTTCCACCGCCCACGTCTATCAAGATGATGGAAGCAAACGAGAGTGGCCATGGGAGCTACCTCGTCATGAGGCTAGAATAGAAAAATGCAATTCGCCTGCGTCTTGGCCATTGCTTAAAGGGCACTGCAATGTACAGACCTATGCCCCTTGATGTTGACGTGGGCAATGTAGCTGCGCGCCTGGGGAAGGTGGGAGCGAAGGCAGTATATAAGTGGAGCTAGCTAGTGGCGGAGTTGAAAGGCAATAAAGAGACGCTGTCGTTTGAAAAAAGTGCTGTTTCTTCTCCGTCTCGAAAGCTTAGGAATTGGATATCTCTGCTCAGGACTGGCGATGTTCTGTCGTTGACTATGTGTGCCGCAGCAAACATTAAGATCATCGTAAGGAGCACGCACGGTTTTACGCGGTGTTAACATTCCATTGCATCTCTCATGACTATAGAACGACAATGTAAACTTTCTGATCTTGAAAACCGTGGTGATGAAGAAAGCTTGAGCTTAATCAACAGGTCAGACGATACAGGAGAGCATCATTTTGGAATCGCATGTAGTAGAAGTTCCTTAATATTCCGACAAATGTTCATATTAGAAAAAGTCGACATTCCATACTAACAGGATGTTTCATATAGAGTGCCGCGATAATGAGACGCTAGAAAGAACCATGGTTCCGCGACTACCTCCTCAACATGGCGCCGGGTGCAGCCGGCATTAGGGCACCTTTGGCAGGCGTGTTCTTGCTCCTGAATTCATCCGCGATTTCCGCCATCGTGACAAATTCTACGCCCTTGTGGCTTTTGAAATACTCAATCAATCTGCCAGAAAAGTTGTTAGATAATGCTTTTAGGTTGGTTTTTCGGGAGTATATTTGGCTTTCACACACCTTTCGTGCATGAGGATAACATGTGGTCTCCCTGAGACATCCGGGTGCACGGATATGGGCAATATGAACTCGTCGTATTCGCGATAAAAGTAGTCGAAGTGGTCACGCCAGGTATCTTCCACGTCACGAGTGTTAACGAAACCATGACTGTTCGGAGCTGCTTTTATAAACATGAGAGGTGGTAAGTCGTCGAGGTTCCAATTCGAGGGGATTTCGACAAGTCCAGTATCTCTACCACGCACGAGAGGCTTCATCCAGGTTTCGGCTTTTTGAGTGTAGTCAATCTTGGTCCATGATTCACCCGTGTTCAAAAAGTAGGCCTGACAATCATGGTGGGCCATGCTGTGGTCATAGTCAATGCCGTAATCCAGAAGGAGCTGGGCCCCTTCCGCACTTGTCTCCCACCTAGCCTGTTATCAGCAACAGCCCAATGCAAATCCTCAATATAACTCATACCATGGAGCAACGCTTCCTCTCGGAGTCTTGCCGTTGCAAAAATCAGTTAGCATTCTGTACGTCTTATCGAGGACATCTCGCTGCTGCTCGATAGTCATGTCGGTTGGGTTCTCGTGAGAATAGCCGTGGAGGCCGATCTCATGTCCGGCATCTCTAACTGCAGCCATATCTTCTGGGAATGTTTCTAGACTGTGACCCGGAATGAACCAAGTAGTTCTGATCTTATACTTGTCGAACAGTTTCAGCATTCTCCGCGTGCCCACTGTGCCAGCAAAAAGCCCTTAGTCTAGTCGTCAGTTTTGGACCACCAAGCGAAGTCAAATCATCAACCAATCAATTGATAAGTCAACGGCGTACCTCTGCTGATGTCATTTGGCGAGTTTTCGCCACCATAGGAGCCCAACCAGCCAGCAACAGCATCAACATCAACACCGTAGCTGATGAGTACCCGCTTCTTGCTCATCTTGCAGGTTCAACTGATAATCCTGAGGAACAAATAGTAATAGTAATAGAACACCCGGCTATGGGAAGTTTGTAGTACTTGAGGATAGAAAATAGCTTTTTAGGCCAGATGCGTTGTCTTTATAGACCTTGCTAAGTTTACACATGGAAGTCCATCTTAGTTGGCTCTTATCGAACAAGCGGGGGGATTCGCAGCCAGTTGGGGTCGAAATGCGGAGTACAAAGGGTTCCCCCGCTGACCTCTCTGTTTGTTTTGGAGAGGTCAGGATGGAAAAGCATCACGAACTAGTAATCCGGAGCTTATCTTTTGGAGATTTTCTCCAACTTAGATTCAGTAACCCCGCTTGGATTCTGGAAAGGCTACTTCTCTATTAGGGTCTCTATTTAGCCATTTAAGATACCGAAGAAGCCGATTTAGATAAAAATCTATAACGCCATGAAGTCTCTTTCAAATTTCCATCCAATTCTCGTTTTCGAGCCCAAAGCTCTGAGTAATCAAACTATAGTGATAAATGAAATCTAATTGTGTTTCCTAAACGAGCCAGGATTTATGGATAATTCTTTAAGAATGACCTCTGTTGGGCCTGTACCAGCACATTTGTTACAGCAATAGTCGCATATTGCTTGGCTACCTAAGGGCATGATTGGCACTAACTAACTAGTAGTAGTTACAAGTTAGATAGTTAATACGTTTCTTATTATCCGATTTGGCTCAATGGTAAGCATGGGTGGCGGTGTTCCGCCTAAGGCTCGACTTGGGATTGTAGTAGTCAGTGTGCCGATTGACAACCTACCTGGAGTGGTATAATGGGATATAGGCAAGACTGAGGGAGGCAGAAAGTTCAGGAGAACTAGAGCGCTGAATATCTCGCCTAGATCACTCCTTCCTGCGATGATAAATCTGGAAATAACACCTGATCTTGAGGGTACTAAAGCCCCTGAGTATCTAGAAGCTCTAAAAAAGAGAAATCTACGATGTACTATGAAATACCTATAACCAGACCAACTTACCAATGTCTTATTTAAGGCAAGCTATAACCATGTTAGTAAATAAAAGAGGGAACAAGATAGCAAGAAAGAGGAAGGCGACGAGGGAGAGGAAGACAGTTACCAATGCCCGAGTACTTTCCATTTCTGCCTATGCTCGATTCGTGAAGGCTGTTTCCTTCACAGTTTGGTCATCTTCTCTGGCACTTGACATACCACACTGCGAGTTTGAACGGGAGAGCGCACGACTGATACCGGGACGACCGTTGCTCGTCCAACACTTACTACGCAGCTTGATCGGAATTGGTATTTAACATGTGGAGGACGCGGCAAAACAGCGCCGTGAAATTACAAGCCTTCTTTGGCTGAAGCGCCTTCACGACGCTGAGGATGGATGACCTGTGATTCAAGCTGACCTTCGGCTCGATACAAGGGCGGAACGCCCAAGATGTCAACTCATGTACGTCTAACAGCAGCATCGCCACCGTCAAACTCTCTTCCAATGAGCGTCTGTTCCATGGATATTCTCATTGTGCAGTCGAGTCCGGGTCGGGCTGAATTCAAATGCTTCCGCCCGGTGCCCCTGTATCTAGAGCATTGTTCGTGGGAAATGTGCGTCTGCGGGCCATTCGCTACCACCAAGACCATGTCGGATGCCACCTTGGATCTGGCGCTTGGAACGTACAGTAACTGTAGCATTGGCGGATTGATCCTTAGTATCACAGATTGCCGACCTGTCTCTAGGGCCTGCCGGGCACAGGCAAAGCTCGCACCATCGTGGAGATGATACGGGAGCTTCAGAGTCGACATCGAAAGTCACGCATCCTCGTCACGGCGCCGACGCAAAATGCTGTAGACAACGCGATGAGAAGAATCCTTTCAAGGCCACGGCCTGCACGTTCAACGATTTCAGAAACGCTGACGTGTCACACCACTGTCTAAGTGTAACGGAACTATCGCGCACACGAGCTAGTATTTCCTAATACCTAAGGGAACTTTGTCCTCTCCCAACAAGATCTGGTCTCGGAGCCTGAAAATTTGTAGATGCCTTATCAATGTGGCGCTGGGTTGGTATCATTAATGAGTGAATGATGTAGTGCCTTTTTGCCGTGACTTAGATGCGTCTTGAACCTTCATTTCGTAGTATTTAAACCCTTCTTTCGCTATTCCTTCTTATTCATCGTGATTCCAAGTTGCTTAGCGCAGCCCAGCACGCCGTTAGTATTCTAGGCAAAGCCAACCACAGCTGAGAACTCGAATTAAGCAGTGGAGGTGAAGTTGTGAAATGGTTATTGTCCAGAGTTAAATTTACTAAACTTATAATAAAAGGTTTAATGAATTTGACTTTTCTGTCATCAAGGTCTTCGTCATATAACATGGCTGACAAATCGCCCAGTACGCCGCTGGTTCTCAGGGGTATCCAGTGCTAGCACCCACGGTTCCGCCTTTGTATCACCACGAACAGGATCTGGCAGAGTTCTGGACACGAAAGTCGACGGAGAGGCCCGAGTCACCATGACCACTGCAGATTCCACCAGTGCTAGCAATGAGTCAGCAACAACTCTGAATGACAATACTATAACAGGCAAGGTAGGCATAGAAAGGTCGATGCAGGGCAACTGTAGAGTAGCAGAGCGAGAGTGGGGCAGTATACTCACCAGGATGACTTTCCGGCACAGCACATATCCCGAACATATCCCATGCCCCATCCCGCCTCCCATTCTTTAACGTGTGTGTTATCAGAAAGATACATGTTTATGGCGCAGACCTTGGCGGTACCGACGCTCCATGAGAATGCGGACCATGCAGGCAAGTAGACTAGATTTTCGGGGTTGTTGTTCTGTAGCTGCCGCTGGAGCTCGTTTGCATCAGCTTGGTTGTAGCTGCCGAAGCCGCCGCCACACCCAGTGGTACGCTTCTCAAGGCCGGTCGTGGGAAGCTTGCTTTGGGGGGCTGTGGTGGGCTTAGGTTGGGTGAGGGGGAATGGGCCTTCCTGAACCATTTCAAGCGCGGAAGAGGCCGCAGAAGACTCCAAGGGCACGGCATTGGTAGCCAAAGCTCCCAAAGCGATCGTGAGTACCGAAGAGATGTACATGATGAAAGCTCGGTTTTGAAGCGATGAAAAATCTAGGATGGTTGATGGGTGGGAGTGCAGTTGATAGGGACTGAGGAATGGATTTTGAGGCGGCGCAGTGCAATTATTTAAGAACAGTGAATGGTTGAAAGTCTTGTCAAACGTTTTTTCGCTGGACTCGCGCTGACGGATGTTGCCATTCGCATTTACTTCCACGTCAGGAGGTTCAACAAAGTGAAATTTTCTTTCAAGTTTACCGCTCCTTGAACATCACGAGGTCAAAAAAGTCCACTTGCTCAGTAAGCCACCAAGTGCTGAATGGCGTGTTGAATTTGAGGAGATTAAACGTTTAACTAGTGCTACCTCTGGAATCAGGAATTGGCCGGAGAGGCCAGCCGAATATATCCACTTTAAACCCACTTGGAACCTGTCGCTGAATAAGTCCAGGTGGATAGGGAAGTTTTAGACGCCTTCGTTTATGAGCGATTGGCTGAAAAATCCAAAATAGGCACCTTAACCCTCATTAGTCTTGAATGGATCGGTCCGGGCCGAGCCCACTGCAGACTAATCTGTAATTTTACTGGCTGAGTTCATATGGGTGCTTACACATTCGAGGCACAATGGCAGTCCTTTGATTATGGTATGGGGATGGACTGCAGACTTGCAGCTGCCATGCCTCATCAAGACTTGTTCCTGTGATGGAGCCTGTGTCGAGAGTCAATGTATAGGGAAAACAAGACCGATTGAAAAGAAAATGGATATATATTCGGCCAGTCGTCCATTAGTCGGAACACTTCTTTACTCAAGCTTCTTTCAGTCTTACCTTCTGCCGAAACAATAAGCTAGCTAGTACTCCATCATGCGTACTCAATCATTTCTGGCGGCTATTGCGTCGGTCGCTTATTCTACGGCTGCGGCCCCTGCTGAAGATCATCCAGAGTCCCTTGCTTTTGGCCCTTTCAATATCAACGATGGAGTGGAGACTGAGAACGCACTGCTCAACAAGCGAGATGACTGCGGCACATTGGGAGCCCTCTTCAGCAAGAACAGCATCAACAATCTCATGTGGGACCTCCAGAACAACAACCCAGATGGGATGACCTACGTCCCCCATAACAACTTCGTGAGTTGGTCAAACGGCGACGCCCAAGTTTGTGTAAAGAATACTTATATCACGGAAAATACCCATGTCAAACGGTAATTACCTTAACCCTTTTGATGAAATATTTACTAAACTCTTTCTAGCTGGGAAGTTGGTTGGGCCGTCGGATACATCCGCGACATGTGCTGCACTGCTTCAGGTAACTCGCAATGGTAAGTTTTCTAGACAAAAGTGGTCTATAGCAGGGTTAAACTAACCTTAAAACAGTGAGGGAGGCCAGAGCTTGGCTCATGGTGATAGTGGTCTGCCACTTGTTGTATATCTGCGCTCTACGTCTCGTAGTTGTGGTGCAATCAGTAACTAGCAACTATTAAGACTGAATCTTGTAGAGGAACCTGATGTTGTTAAAGTATAAAAAGATAGAAAATGCAAACGCCTAAATCTTATACTTCAGACACTGAAAATTAACGAATTAATGGATACTTGATCCTAGCTCTAGTTTGAAAGATACTCTACTAATTTAGTAGACCCTAAATTCTAAAATAACTTTATTTAAAAGAGCTTATACTTTACTAGGCCTATTGCCTTGTATTGTGTTTATAGAACTTTTGATAGCATTGATTCTTATTTTGGCCTAGCGCTATACTAGCCAATAACCTTCGGTTACATGACTACGGACTCTGAACTAAGACCCCAGCTTTTTACCTTGGCCCTACTAATAGTATAACCAATAGAACTTGCACTTAGGCGCGCTGCCATGCTCTAGCTTCCGACTCGTCTGCCCTGTCAGCTGCCTACGAAATTAACGTTGACCGTGACGCCCCTATGCCGAGACGCCGCCGTCACAGAGCAACTAACCCGCTGAGCTGGTTTAAATGCTATTATCCTGCTGCTTTTAGTGAAAGCTTTAAACATCAGCTTAACCTTATACTACCTATTTATCTTTACCTTTTTATAGGACATATTTATGCCCTTTATAACCTATACTACTATTTCTATAATATTTTTAATAAAAGAATATCATATATTAGGCCTATAGCCTTATATGGTGTTCATAGAACTTCTATTAGTATCAATTCTTACTTCAGTCTAGCACTATACTAGCCAAAAGCCTTTAGTTATATAACTAACGTATCTGCATAGCGAGTCGCCACTTATAGCGAGTCGCCACCTTTCCCTTCTTTCTACCTCTTTGACCTTTACACTAACTTTCCTCTATATATAAACATATAATCCTCCTTAATTAAAAGTCATATCATCTTTGCTATCTAAGCTATTAAACAAGACCTAAAAATATCTATGAAAAAAGCAGTATTTATCTTTAAGGTCCCCTAAATAATACTATATAATTAACATACTAAATACGTTATATAAGCTAAAAGATAACTAAATTTAATAAAAATAACTATAATAAAAGAAGAAGTTATTCTTAAATAAGTTATTAACTTAATTAATTAAAGGTTTTTTTTATAATAAAAAAATATATAAGATATAGTTAATTAACTCCTTTTTAAATGTAATATAACGCGTATTAGACCCTGATAAGCAGAGAACTTTATATAACAATAATTTTAATTAAAAATACAATTTTAACGTTAAATTAACTATTAAAAGGCTTTAGCTAAGGATCCTATAATTATATAAAGCTAATTTATACTTATATAAAATATAATTATAAAGTATAAAATATAAGATTATAATATTTATAATTTTAATAAAATTAGCTTTTTAATAAAAATATTATTATATATAAAGGTTATTATAACTTCTAACTATAAAGGAAGATTTTATATAAAGTAGCTTAGTAATTAGAAATAAGTTTCTATTATTTAAGGTATATATATAGATAGCTAGGTATTATCTTTATACGTTATTATAAAAAGCAAATATTACTTCTTCTCCTAGTATACTAATAGCTAATTCTTAGTTATATAGTATATTTATCTAAGTGAAAATAAATAAATAACAAATAATATTAGCTTAAATTAATTAAAATACTTTAATTAATATATAAGGACTTATATAAAAAGTTCTTATTAGCTTTTAATCCTTAATAGCCATAATAGCTATAAATTAATTAACTTTAATAAATGCTATAAGAAATAAAACATTATTACTTTCTATATACCTCCCTATTTATTATATAAGCTTTAGCCTTTTAATATTAAGTACTTTAACCTATTAAAGTACTTATATAATAAAAAAATTAAAAACATAATATAAATATAAATTTTATATATTATAAAAAATAACTTCTTTTTTACTTTTAAAATAATATTCTTTACTTTAATAAGTAAAAATAATATATAAGCTAATTTTTAATAAATAAGCCTTATACCTTTTAACCCTAAAGTAGTTATTTTCTACTTAGACTTTAAGCTAAAGACACTAATATTATTTAGCTTATAGCTAAATAGCTAAGACTCTTAAGACCTTAAGATATTAACTATAACACTAGATAATATATAAAATACTAGTTCTTTTAAAAAAAAAATCTAATAACATTAAAATAATTTACTAATAATAATATATAAAATTATTAACTTCTAAGCTAAAAGTATTAGTAAATTAATATATAAGCTTACTTTTACTAAGACTAAAAAAAAAAAGTATTATATAATAATAAAAATACTAAATAAACACTAAAAAGCTAAAAAGACCTAATTATATCTTAAAGGGTTACTTAATACTATTAAAATAAAGATATTATAAATAGAAAAGGGTAGTATTAATACTAAAAAAGAGAATAACCCCTAGAAAGAAGGTTATACAGAAGGTGCTGAACTACACGCACAATAATATAGCAATTACAGAAAGCCTAGACATAACATATAAACATATAAAGTAGTTTAGGATAGTAATAAGGAAAAGGGCAATAAGTAGTTTTAACTAATTTTGTATATTGTGGCTAAATTGACTTATATAAAAGGTAGAAGAGTAAAGGAAAGGTGGCGACTTGCTATGAGTGGCGACTCGCTATGCAGATACGTTATAGCAATTACTTAAACTTTAAACTATAACTTCGGCTTTTAACCTCAGCCGCTAATAACACAACTAATTCAACTTACATTTAGGCGCACTGATTAAAAGACACCCTGACTTTCAAAATTTTTAATGTACCCGCTAGCTCCCTCTAAAATTAACGTTAACCATGATATCCCTGGGCCGTGACGCCGCTAATAACTAACCCACTAATCCGCTTTCAATACTGTCACAGTCTTGCTGCTGTCAGTGAAAGCTCTAGACATGTTACAGTGCAGCCTTACGCTACCTACCTATCTTTGCTCAAGCAGCTTCTAATAGGACATAGCTTTAGGTCATTTGTCCCTTTAATAGCCTAGGTAGCAGTATGGATGTGGGCGCCAGGGCTGGTGTGCATTGCTATCGCTGGCTGCATACTGATGCGCAGCCTCTTTGATATGGCACTAATCAAGACCATGTTTTCTTTTGTCTTGGCGATTGTTCTGTCCCTCGTTACGATCCAAGCGACAGGCACGACTGACACGACACCCTTTACAATAGCCGAGGTATCGCAGGTCATCCTAGGTGCAACGCCCAAGGTCACCAGGACTTCGACCGTGGCGGCATCGCAGCGGCTCAATTTTCTTGGCGGAGCCATAACAAATATTGGAGCAAACCAGCATACGGTAAGTGGTCAATATCATTCATCCGATAAATTTGTCTGAAAGCGCCCGGCTGATTACTCACTCGCCATGTTGCCGCAACAGACTCAGTGGGAGATTTCCGAGTCGGGTTTCTCTTACAGACGCCGGCTAAACTCCAGTATGCCGCCCAGATAGCAGTAACCTTCGTGGCCAGTCTAGTAGCTCCCAGTGTGTTCGTCCTTCTAAGTAGGGCCTATCCACAATTGATTACATATTCTAGGTAGAATATAATGAGATTTAGGTACAGGTGGCCTGTGCGGAATTTCTGTTATAGGGTAGAATATTATAAGAAACAGGATTAAATGTTTATAATAGGTTGTAATACTAATGCCTTCTTTCTTCTTTGTTATCCTCCTTCTTTACCTGCTTGCCTGCCTACTTTACCCTTTTCTTCTATTCTCCCTCCCTAGCCTGAATGTACGCAGGCTGTAGAATAAGGTGGTGCTACTATGCCCTATGCTTATACAATAGCTGTCTCTCTATAATTAGCTAGCCTATTCCTAGCTCCCTGTGTTTCTTTATAATATTATCTTTGAGCAAATTCGAAATTAGGCCAAAACAATGGCCTCTAGCAGTCCGGATACGCCGCTTTTCATTCGTCATATTACTTGAACACTTAGCCAGACCTTTTTAATGGACGACGACCCAACAATCATGCCCTTGCGGGCAGTGACAAGGTGCCTTAAACTTTGTATCTTAGTCTTCGCTTTCCTGGCTTTTGAGTTCGTCCGGAACTCGGCAACTGTGATGCGACGACGTCGCGTAGCCCGGAAACGTACTAGCTCACAACACGGGCCAGCCTGATGTCGGTTATCTCGGACGCAGGTAATCTATCCCAAATGGAAGCAAGCCAATTTCCTTGGCGGAATAAATATCAGGTGCAAGGTCCCAAGTACCCCATCAATTTCCCACCATTCAACCCCAGAGCCCCCCACCACGATGTTCTCAATGTGACACCGGGAGGGATTTCAAGTTTGAGCGCTCATCTCTCCTCAGTACCTTAATAGGGGCAAATCATTCTGACAGCTGTTAATTAGACGGGAAAACAAACGTAAGGTCACAGAGTTGCTCCAGGGAAACTAATTGTCATGAGACGAACTGGTGGTGTCTGTGGATATGGAGGGAGGGGATGGGCGATCTGGGGTTGCATATAAAGTTGACGTGTCTTGGCATCTGGAGTAGGAGCTTGGCATGCTTGCAAATTACGCACCGGGTTGATATATCAGTCGAGAATTCCGTTTGAGCGCTTCACAATGGTTTCTCAGGCCCTCGTTGCCCTACTTTACGCTGTTGGCTCGGCTGCAGCTCTCACGTGCCAAGTTGCTGGTAAACATGTCTCGCAAAGATTTTTGCTGGCCATGAGCTGATGGATTGCAGGCGGAACTTCTGACGACTCTCCAGCCATCCTTGCCGCCCTGAAGCAGTGCAACAATGGCGGAACGGTACGCGGCATCCAGAATATCTCATATCGATTGGATATGTTGCCACTAACCTGGGGAATTCCTTCCAGATCGTGCTCGACAAGACCTATACCATTGGCTCCGTGCTCCAGACAGACTTCCTCTCCAACATCGCCATCCAACTTTCTGGGACCATTAGCCTCAGCACCGATCTCAGCTACTGGCAAAAGAACTCTATACAACTAACCTATCAAGATGCCTACACTGCCTGGGCCATTGGTGGAACCGATATACACGTAGGTCTTTGTGTTTTCAAAAATAAATGTAGCAGCGGTCTGACACCCACCCTTAATCAGATCTTTGGTGGCGGTACCTACAACGGAGGTGGCGACGGCAAGCATTCTATTATTCTCCAGAATCAACTATCATTTGCTGATCAAGTAACATAGCCTGGTACTCTGCCGGAAAGACCGGCCCCATTATGTTGACCTTGCTCAACGCCAACAACGTTCTCATCGAAAATATCAACATGAACAAGAGTCCATTTTGGCACAACCTGGTTGACGGCTGTACCAACGTCACTTACAGTCACGTCAACATGAACTCCGTCCAGACCAACGGCAAGCAGGCGCAAAACACCGGTAAGCCTTTCCCACCCCTCGGCTCTTAAGGGCATTGCAACTAATATGCTAGCAGATGGGTAAGTGTTGGTGGACGTATTGATTCAACGAGAGATACTAACAGTCACAGCTGGGACACCTACCGTAGCTCCAAAGTCACAATCACAGACTGCAAAGTCATAAACGGCGACGACTGCGTCTCTTTCAAGCCCAACTCGACTGACATCCTTGTCCAGAATCTGTAATCATCCTCCTTCCCTCTTCCAATTTCTGCCGGGAACTAACAAACCCTAGCTACTGCCAAGGCTCCCATGGAATCTCGGTTGGCTCACTGGGCCAGTATGCAGGCCAAGTCGACATTGTAAAGAACATCCACGCTAAGAACATCACAATGGTCAACGCCTCCAACGGCGCCCGCATCAAGGCGTGGGGCGGCAGCGCCTCTGCGACCTCCGCCAAGGGCGGCGGCACAGGCCTCGTGCAGAACGTCACCTTTGAGGACTTTACCATGCAGAACGTTGACCTCCCCATCGTCATTGACCAGTGCTACCAGACTAGCGCCGCTACTTGCGCCCAGTACCCCTCGGGCGTCAGGATCAGCGATATCCACTACATCGACATCACAGGTACTGGCGGGAAGGCAAGCGAGGTCGTCACCATGGTCTGTAGTGATATCTGCGATGACATTACCGCCACTGGGACGAAGCTTGTTGGAACAAAGGGAAGCTCGGAGTACATTTGTCAGAATATTGCGAGTGTTGAGAAGTTAGACTTTCCGTGCAGTGCTGTCGGGGTTACTGTCGGGGGACGACCAAAAGCACAAAGTCTGCCAAGGCTACGGCGACGAAAGTTTAAGAGACAGAAATGCGGAGGCATAAAATTCACTGGCCGTGAGTAGACCTTGGCTCATGTAGCGTCGTAGATTAGGATTGTGATAGGGAGAATGACGGAGTGATACTGTGAAATCAGAATAGAACAATTTCAGCAGCTACATACAATCTCCTGAGGCCTATCGAGTAATACGTATAGGGCACAAGGGCTCGTGTCGAATAGCAGGGCGTACAGAGGGCATCATGTGTACGAAGTGCCCGGTGCGCTGCCCGCGCCCCACGGCAAGCGGGCGGCAACGGACGGGAACACGCCGGGCCGCAGCTTGCTAACAGCCTGAGGCACATAAGAATCAGGGCTAAAAGGGCTGCGTGTCAAAGATATTCCGCTGTACCATGTACACACAAAAGTGAAGATCTCCACACTTGCATGTGTGGTACTTCAGGCTATATCTGATGTCTGACACTGCGCGCGCGGCAGGGTAGTGTTACGGCCCAACCATTTGGGGTGCTGGCAGGCGTAAATAAATAGTGCAGAGCAGGGGATAATGATGCAGGCGCATCATTACCGAAGCTTTTGCTTTGTGGTGCAGTTGGTTGCCCTGACCTGCTCGTAACAGGTAGTTCAGAGCAGCTAGAAACAATACATATATATACTAACAGATAAGGTAATTCTATAATTTAGCAGAAGGATAACTACAAGAGCAGATCTAAAACTAGATAAAAAGAATACTTAACTATATTTAACAGATAATTACTCTTAAGAGCAGTAATAAATATAAAGAAGGTTATTAGACTAGAAAATACTGTTAGATAACTACTAATTAACGTTAAATTACTAGTATTAATAGTTACTTAGATTTTACTACTTACACCCTTTTTACCTAACCCTTAATAGGTCTAAGTATATTATATAACTTGGTTATATTACATTAATATATATATATAGTAAGTGGCTTATTATAGTAAGTAAGTCAACGCACCCACTTTTCGCCTACCCACCTTTTTTGCCTACCCAAAAATCCCTTATCCCTATCACCAACTTCCCACTTCTAACTCCTATAACATCTTTAACCTTTATCTAAATTACTTCTTTTTTCCTTTACATCTTTTTAATAGCCTAATAGTTTAATATACTGAAGCTAAGGTTAATAAGGTATTAGCTAATATAAGTAATAGCTAGTTTATCTGTGAGGTATCCTTGAAATAGGGTGTACTACGATTAATACTTTGAAGCTGGCTTAAAGGCACTTAACTTAGGGTAGTAGCCTTTGCTGACCTCTAGAGGCTCTTTGTTAGTCAGGAAGCTAAGCTGGCTAGCTAGGTACAAATCCAGGCTGACCTTAGGTTTGCGCTAATATATTAATAAGTTAAGGAATTTACTTAGTATATCTTAAATGCTATAGGAGATACTTAGCCTTTAGGAAAGAGATAGATAGAGTCTTTTGTATAAAGAAACTTATTTATTAAGGTCTAAAGAAGTTAATCTATTAATTCTAGATACGTTAATAGGGTATTTATTAAGGTTATTAAGAATTAGTTTAGATATTTTGTAATTTTAGTAATAGTAGCTATTTAACTAGCTAATAGATATAATATGGATAAGATAGGTATCCTTAAGGGTTAAGGAGTAAATAGGCTAGTGTTAAGTAGGGTAAAGACTAAGTCTATATAGAAAAAATAGCCTAGATTATAAGCCTAGGTATCTATTATTAAGTATATCTTAGCTAAGAGCCTAGTATTATATCCTCTTATAATATATAAGGACAAGATAGTTTAGTAGTAGTAGTTTTTTTTAGATCTTAGCCCTTATAACAAATAAGAGTTTATAGTAATAGAAAATAGATAGATAACTAATAAGACTATTATTAAGTAGTTACTAAAGGTCTTCTTACAATAGACTACCTCCTCTTAGCCTAATCAGGCTAGACTACTAGTCCTGGATAAGTATAGGAGCTATATAACGACAGAATTTATATAGGAGTACTATACTAATAACGTTTATTTGTTATTCTTATTACTATATACCTCTTATGTTCTCTAGCTATTAGATTAGTTAGTCTTTAGCTTAGTTAAAGTAGCTTATTATAATAAGCTTTTTAATGTTACTTAATAAAATAATTTAATATAGGTAAAAGGTATTTTTTATTTTACTATTAGAGGGTATACTTAGCTAAGCTAATAAAAAGAATATTCTAAGTAGCTAGAAATATACTAGACTATAGCTTATTACTATAAATAAACCTCTTATAAGCTCTTTACTATTACCTAAGGTAATAGTACTAGTAATACTACTTAATAAGGCTACCTAAGGTACCTAGGATATAAAGGGATAAGTATTTGCTTTATTTACTGTTATATAGTTTATGCCTAGGAAGATAAAAGACCTTAATAGTTAACTAGACTTATTTAGTAGGCTAAATCAAAGTATTACTATATAACGCTAGCTCTTCAGAAAGGTCAAAAAAGGCTTCTAAGAGTAGTTCTTTTAGCTAGCTACTACCTAGCACCAGATATAACGTCTTTAGACCTAAGTTAATAATACTATAGCAAAGAAGAGAAAGGCTATTAAAATTGACCTTAATACTAAGTTTGCTAATATTAGCGATATCTGGTAAGCTTAGATTAACGTTAGCAAAGTTAAGGTTAATACAGATGAATCCAGTGTATCTGATTACCTTAGTAAAGCAGAAAGCTGTATTATAGTTGTATCTGGCCCTTGTTAATAGTTAATTGAAATAGGTGGTTGTATTGTGATAGCCTTGTTTTTAGGTAGGCAAAAAAGGTGGGTAGGCAAAAAGTGGGTGCGTTAACTTAGCTTATTGCTTTTTACTTTTTTACTTTTTATTTAAGTTTATTAAGCTATATATTAAATAGATTCTCCTGTTTTAAGAGAACCTAGGTATATAGTTATATTTAGGCTAAAGTTAAGGTAAATTTGTAACAGAACACTAACAGTAACGCTCTGTGGCAAGGACCTTTAGACTCCGCAAGCATGACCAATTAACCTAAAGGACCCAAAAGATCCGTCAGTGCTTACATGTATACAAGCCTTGCTGTCAACACTGCTTATATGCCCTTGTAACGTACAACCATCTAGCTAGGGGAGTTATACTGTTACAAAATTAAAGGCATGTTTTTCTATAATTATCTTCTTAGCTATAAGACTCAGCTTTTATATATAAAATATATTATCTTATATATCTTTAAGTTAGTTTAGTCTAAATATACTTTAACTCTTTTAGGGAATTAATAGAGGGGCGTTGTAAATTAATATGTGGGAGTTACCTTTACGTAGGTATCGCTATCTGTCTTTCTTGTTAAAGGATAATAAAGCAGCCCGCCTATAACCACTGTAGCACAGGGTAGCACAGCCACAAAGGATAGCTATAGGGTTATAAAGTTCATAATACTGTCTTAGGGTATAAGGCCTATTTAACAGGTAAAAGGCTAGAGATTAGTAGGCTAAGATCTAGCGTTTGTTTAATATAAGATTTACGTTTTATAACTATACTATTCTTAACTATAGTTCTTTTATAATTCTAGATCTTTTTAAAAAGTTACTAATAGTAATAATAGTAAATAAAAAAATAATAAAGGGTATAGATATATAAGCCTTAGGATTAAGTTATACTACTAAATCTTAAGAGAAAAACTTAAGAAATAGTATAAAAACCTGAAGAGGAATTAGCCTAGAAATCTAAGTAATATCATAATAATAGATTAATAAACTTAAGGTAATATACCTGTATAGCGAGTTACAGATTATAGTAAGTCACGCATATCTACTTCCTTTTTACCTCTTTAACCTTTATATATTTTTCCCTCTATTTATAAATATATAATTTACTTTAATTAAAAGTTGTATTATCTTTGCTATCTAGGCTCTCAAAAAAGACCTAAAAATACCTAGTTATATAAAGAACTACCTTTACCTTTAAGGTCCTTAAATTAACCCTTTATAACGAACGCATAAGACGTGTTATATAAAGCAAAAGATAACTAAATTTAATAAAGATAACTATAACTATAAAAAAGGCAATTCTTAAATAAGTTATTAACTTAATTAATTAAGGGTTTTCTTTATAATAAGAAGATATATAAGAAATAGCTAATTAACTCTTAAATATATATAACAGGACATATATAAAAGACCTTAATAAGTAAAGAGCTTTATATAATATATTCTTAAATTAAAAATATAATTTTAACGTTAAATTAACTATTAAAGGGCTCTAGTTAAGGATCTTATAATTATATAAGGCTAGTTTATATTTATATAAAATATAATTTTAAAGTATAAGATACTAGATTATAATATTTATAACTTTAATAAAACTAGTTTCTTAATAAAAATATTATTATATATAAAGGTTATTATAACTTTTAACTATAAAAGAAGACCTTATATAAAGTAGCCTAGTAATTATAAATAGGTTTCTATTATTTAAGGTATATATATAAATAGCTAGGTAATACCTTTATGTATTATTATAAAAGGTAAATATTACCTTTTTTTTAGTATACTAATAGCTAATTCCTAGTTATATAGCATATTTATTTAAGTAAAAATAAATAGATAATAAATAATATTAGCTTAAATTAGCTAAAGTATTTTAATTAGTATATAAAAACTTATATAAGAGGCTCTTATTACCTCTTAATCTTTTATAGTTATAATAGCTATAAATTCACTAACTTTAATAAATAAGTAAGAATAACTAAGGGTTATTTATAATAGTTATAAGGAAAAGTAAAGAAGAATAAAGGTAAACAGAAAAGGTATATATATATATTAACCGTTAAGGTTTTATTATACTTTTTTGTTCTTAAAAACTATCTAAGTAGAGAGAATATCTCTTAGTTATATAGAAAGTCCTTTAGATACGTATAGTATCTAAGCGTATATCTAAGCGTATATCTAAGCGCTAAGAGGTACTTATATGTTTCTTATATATATATATATATATATATACCTATATATGCTTATAGATAAGTATAAGCGCCGGTATATATAATGCTTAGAAGTATATGCGTTTATATATAGTAGACTACATTAGTTTACAGTAGT